TGTTGGCCGTGGGGGCGGCCTTGGTGCGCCGCTGTTAGCGGGGCTGGGCCGGGGGCGGTGTGTGCCGCCTGGGTCGGCCCCGAGGTGGACTTCAGCCGAGTAACGGAGGCCTCTCGGGGAGGGGAGAAGGCTTAACGATTAATTGGTAATTTTCTTTCATGCCCCCTTACAGGAGAACGGTTAGCAGTATGATGTGCCAGTCACTCTTAAGAACAGAGCTGAAATAGGGAAGATAGTGCTGAGCTGCTTGCGGTAAGTACTAACTACAGCCTATCGAGTTAACATGTGGTTATTGTATGTGTTTGTGGCTTTGCAATTTGTTATGTTGTTAATTTCTGGCCGCTTCATGTTTGTCAGGATGTTGGTCAATCAAGGTGAATGGGTGGCAGCATAGCTGCTCTAGACTCAGCGAAGAGTGTTCACCTAGAAAGTAAATGTGGGTTGTTCTCTAAAATTATTTTCTCTTTGCTGACATTGGAGGGGAGATGGGGCCCCTGTGCTGCTAACTTAACTGCATTGGGATGAACTTGAGCTGCTCTGTGTTTCCTTAAATACTTGCTTCCAAGCCTGCATTTTCATTTTGAAAAGGGCAAGCAAATAGGTTCTGCCTTGAACAGTTAGAGGATGCAAAAAAAATCACCTTAAAATTTAATCACTGATGTAAGGCTCCAGCAGACTTGTGCTACTTTTGCCTTCTTTGATCTGAAATAAGTTTGAGATCGTTCCAGATGTATGGGATGGGAGGAAATGGAACCCGTTACTTCAAGTAGTGATGACTGTCACTGTTCAGTAATATCTGACTACAGGACTATTTGTTCTAGCCTGTTCTCATTCATTCTGTTACTCTATATATGCATCTCCAGTGTTTTTAGACTGCTGGCTTTCCTGTTGTATACCTTTGTCTTCCTATGCTTTTGTTCTTTCCCTTCTTCCTGAGTGTGTATAATAATCTGTACTCTGAAGCTGCTAAGCAAATGACAACAGCAGGTTATCTAAAGATGTAAGGTGACTTTTTCTGTAGTGTCTTCAAATGTTAAATTGTGTCTACCTTTGAGATGTTCCTGGGTAAAGTGAAGTGTCTGTAAAGCTGTAGAAAGCACAGTAGAATTATCAAGATGCAGTACTATGGGGTTAGGAAATGACTAGCAAGCGCATGAAATGACTCTAGACTACTACATAGGAAGGTAGGTTCCCTCTGCTGTGTGTTCTAGGCCCTTCTGCATAGACTTGGGCAGCTGGAGTGTGAATTGGGCTGTCTTGCTGATTCAACTAGAAACTGACTTTTGTGTGTGGTTAGCCTTCATTTGGGTTGACAGTGAACAGATGGTTAACAGACTATTAGAGCAAGCACCAAGAGGCTTTAGGTACCATGTAACTAGTGGAAGAACACAAGAGGGAAGATGGAGTGGCTTCTGGTTCTGACACTTGCTTAGATTACTTTAAAATGATAGTAAGTACACGGAAGTGAGTCTTTTTGTGTTACGCTTGTTACGCTGTAACACAGCAGCGTTACAGTTCTAAAAAGCTGTTGGCCAGGTGAATGTATTGTTATACTAGGGAAAAAATATCCCTGATAGGGAGCGGTATAAAACTTGGTAACAGGTTGCCCAAAGAGGCTGTAAAATTTCTCTCTGAAGACATTGGAAACTGGCCTGTACCAGCTGATGAACAATCTGATGACACTCTGAAATCAGCCTTGCTTTGAACAGGCAGTCGGAGCAGAAGAGCTATAAAAATCACTTCCAAATATTATGGATATCTTGAGAGATATAGCTATAGCTTAATTGTTACTCTGAGGGCTAGTATAATTGTCTGCCGTTCATAGCAAAATCTGTGTCCAAATTTCCTCACAGATTGCTCTCATAACCTAGCTCTATTAGATAGAATGGGGGGAGGCTTGTTATCTGAGTAATGTAAAATTTTCTTGAATTACGAACTTCTTGAGTTCTCACTGATTTTTTTTTTTTTAGGACAAACTGAAACATGACTGATACAGATGAATCCCAGGCCTCTGGTTCTGTTAGCTCTGATGCTCAGGATTTAATATTCACTCAACAGAAAGAGTCATTGGAAGTATATGAATGTGAATTAAATACACAAAGCAGGTGTTCAGGCTCTGGGCAGAAGGGTGCTGCTCCTGGGGAATCTTCAGATGAGCTTAACAGTAGACACAAATCACCAGCTGCTTCAGCTATGGCCTTTCTGGACAGCAGTGATTCGGAAACGTGAGTTTTTCCTCTCTAGTTTCTTGAAATTCCTCATGTACAGAATTTGTACGATGAATCATAAATGTGAGCAGTCTTCTGAAAGTAAGTATTGTTTCTTCTTTAGCAATCTTTCTGCTTCCAGTGGCAGTGAATACCATACCAAGTGTTCCATTGCGCCTTCAAAGCAAAAAATGAAATCTCGACCTTCAAGGCAGCGGGCAGAATCTCTTGCGGGAGTACCTGACGGTGAAAGTTCAGATTGCTCTCTGTCCCCTCCGAGCCCAGTGGAATCATCTAAAACCTCCAAACGGCAGAAGTCAAAACTGAATTTGAAAGCCATTTTTGCCTATCACTTCAGGGGAAAAAAGTTTAAGGCTGCTGCACACCGAAAATATAAGGGTGGCTCAGGGAAGAGGAAGAAAAAGTATGAGAGCACACAGATGCCTGTGGGGAGGCCACCACTGACAGCATCACCACAAGAGCAAAAGAAAAGGCTTCTAGATAGAGGCTTTCAGTTCCCTTTTGTTGAAAGACATTATGGGAAGCAACATATCCCTTTAAAGATGGTTCTTGGCTATGAGGTGAGTCTCCTCTTTTGTGAGGGGAAACGTTTTATACTTATTTTAAAAACAGTGCATTTAATTTTGGCTATGTGGTGCTTTTACTTAATGAAACAGGTCTCACTGAACTACTGTGAAACAGATTTCATTGTACTTTTGGTAAACAGGACACTTGCTGTTCAGTAGTCTGCTTAATCTCTTAAGAGAAACACAGAACCTTGAAGTACAAGGATGTCAGTATTAAGTTGCTAATATAACTGCTTTATTTTTTGTTGTATAATAGTATTTAAGATCTTGCCTGATGCATTTTTTTTTTTCTTTAGCAAGCGGCCGCAAAGGGATATTTCCAGTACATTGAAATGCTCAAATATGAAGAACATCTCAAAAAGGCTTTAAAAAACCTTAAAGCTAGTGAAGACTTAGAAAAAGAATGTCTGGCAGTGCGGAAACACAAATACTTAGATGATGAAGGCCCCATTTCCCCTATCCGGGAGACAAAGTAAGTTAATCTTTAAATACTTAGGAAGTATAAAACTTGCTGGCCCTTCCCCCCCAGTCTACATGTGTATAGCATGGCTGTCCTCTTCAACAGGTGGATGCAGGGCAGTCACTAGTGGAAAAACCTCTTAATATTTCTGATATTCAGTAATATATACCACTTTTAAAGTGGAGTTGAGGAGGTAATGAAGTTGCTTAGTCACATGCAGTTCCATAGCAGAGTTGCAGGTTCATCAAGTTCAATTCCTGCACTCTCCTTCTAAACTACAGAAATATGTTGTGGGATCAGAATATGGAGATCTATTCAAAATCATCATTTACTTTGGGAACAAAACACTTAGCCCCTTGGGATTCTGTGCTTGCCAAGGTGACTCGGGACTTTGAGGTATACTTAATCCGAGGCCTGGTCTTTGTCTCAAGTGGTGGTTTGTGCCGTTTCTTAAAACGACGTGGTAGAAGCCACCTGAGAAAAGTGATGTAAGCTTCCTAAAATAAGTTTTACTATTGTTATCGCATATAAAAGTAGTGGAGCGTTCTGTGGCAAAGATTCAAGAATGTTTTTGAATCTCCGTTTTTATTGTAAAAAAACATTCGTGAAGTATCATTTAAAGCCTTTCCTTAAGGTCAAATCAACTTTCTTACATAAAGGGATAAGCAAATCGGCGAGATGACTTATTGCTGTAAATATACTCAGTGTTGCAATCCAGGAGAGTCTAGAAGACTTTGTAGAAGTATACAGTAGTAGTAACCTGTTTTTTCAACCACCGTTCACTTTAGTGACCGCCTACGCTGCTGGCTTAGGTACGTCAAAGCATTAGACTGAGCCTGTAAGGTAACAATCATTAGTTTGTGTTTCTGTAAAAGAGCAGAAGAAACTAAATTCAGTAGGATGAATGCAAGTCAGCTGATCCAGACTGGCAAATCTTCATTATCTTAGTATTAGAACACTTTCAGAGCCGTATCCGTGGAACCAGTTCTCCCTGTGCCACTTGTTAAAGTGATACCCTTGGTACTAAAGTGGTTTCTGTGGAGTCCTAACTATCTTAAGAGAAGTCTGTGAATAGTGGTAGAAAGGAGTTTCATGCTTGAGTTCCTAGACAATAGGGAGAGTTTATTTTGGTTGCGGTATCAGCAAAACAATTGTGTACTCTGATAGTTGATGCTTACCCTTTTATTTTCTTGATTGTATTCTGCTTGTTTTCTAACTTGCTGACTTCCTAGCCCATTTGTTTTGTCAGCCTAAATACTTTGCTGTTACTACTGTCTTCTAGTATTCTGCTGCCGAACACTGCTGCTGTCCTGCCAGTATTTCCAGCTAGGATATAATTCTGCTATCAGAATCGGACATCTGAGAACAACCTAGTGTAGAAGCAGAGTTATCTTACACTTGCAAGCTGTAGCACTTCCGTACACCTCAAGAGAACCTTGGGGGCTCTGGTAGGAAGATAGTCTACACGCTTGAGACTACTGCTGTAAAATACAAACCTTGATTTGAATTTGTATGTTTCAGTGATAACAGCTTGGATTCTGACAGTCGAGAAGATCTTGATGCCAGAGTAGTGGTGAGTAAATACTCCTTAACTTCTTAAACTCTCTAACCTTCTTTCTGTTCTAAATGCTAAAGAATCAGTTTAAAAAAAAAAAGTACTTAATTCTCGAGTTTGGATTCAGTGCTCGTTCTTGTGATGCCTGTGATCTTGATCTGTAATCAGAAGGAAGTTACTTTTGAGAGCCTATATGCTCCTCTTTGAAATAATGGTGGAATGTATAGGGATTGTGAGATTCCCTGAAGAATTCTCAGAAGCTTGCAAAGTTCTACCAGAATATTAACTTCAAACTATCACAGCTAGAATTGTGAACACTGCTATTTTTCATTGACTTAGGAGAACAGCTGTTTCATTATAAGCAGCAAAATTCCCAACAAGAAAAAATCAAAGCCAGAAATGAAACATGCAGAATCAACTGGAGTTGACGGAAGGACACAATGAAGAATATATTGCTGAGAACTCTGGCTTCTGCAGGGTTCAGTTCAGTGAACAGAAAGCTTACAGATGAGGTGGCAGTGGTCATGCTTGACAGACCTTTCATTGTCGCCTTGCCTTGTCTGAAGTGAACATTGTGCTATCAATCAAGGAACCTAATCAGGTCTGGTCTAAGGTGAGTATATTTGGCTTGTTTGTGTGTGAAACTTAAATGACAGGAATACTGTGTCATACTTTTTCTTACGCTTTTAAGTATGTTAGATGATGTCCTTGCTGTACTAATAGCCCTGGTTCTATGGCTGATAACCCTGTTTAAGCACTAGCTTCTGCAGCTTAACTTGTATAACCAATGGATTATCTGTAACTGAGGAAAAGTTCCAAATAGTGCAGTTCAGCAGCTGTGTGGTATGGAAGAGTGTACGCATGTGCACACATGCGTGTGTATGCCTATATTCTTCATTAAGAGAAACTTAAACTATAGCCCCTTTCCCTCTTGTGGTTTTTCTTTTTTGTGAGGGCTTTTTGAGGAATTATTTTTCAGTATCTTAGGGAGATGCAGGTTGTACTTTGAGATACTCTAATGGACTTCAGTGGGGAGCAGGGGGTTGAAGAGAACTGAAATTTCTGCAAGTCTGATGCATACCAACCGGAAACAGGAATAAAATCTCACCAAAGTAGTCTCTTAGAAGTTCATTGCAAAGTGCTATTAATACAATAAACATGATATGTTGAATTCTTGTACTGGAGGTCATAGTCTGTTCTTACCTGCGCAGTAATAACACTTTGGGAAAACTAACTTTCTGATCCTGAATCTGATTAAGGATAGGTTATTTTAGAACTGTAGCAGTGGAATGAATCTTGAATCTAGATGAAAATATTGTCCTTTCTAAACCCTTTTCCTCTCCCTGGTCCAGAGTGCTAATGGGATCTGATATGAACGTGACTAGAGAAAAGACTGAAGTTGTCCCCAGTTGCAAATGCCGTTCTCAAAGGTGTTGTAGTCAACTGGAGACATGACTAGCAGATGCTGAGAAGTGGTCTGAACACTGCTAACTTCTGGATCACAAGGCTGCCTTGATAGCAGTAGAACTTGAAAATTATGTTCAAAAAGCTCACCTGTGAATCAGGAAGTAGTAAATAACCAAAGGGTAATATGCCTCACTGAAAGACTCTTTAATAACTAAATTGCTGTCATCAGCAAACTAACAACTGTTTAGTAGGCAGGAGCTGTTTTTTTTAAAAAAAAAGAAAAAGTCCCAAAACGGACTCTGTTCTTTTAACTTCCTTCAAAATGTAATTGACAAACTGAGGAACCTTACTGCAGGTGTTCCAGTATTAATGAGAGTTGGACAAGTTGCATTGCTTATGTGCTTGAATTAAGGTTCCAGATATTGGTAAAGAAAGCTTGAGGTTTCACTAATTGCCACTTGTTAGCTCTAGAGAATAAAACTGCAAAACGTGCTCTTCAGTAGTTGAAAATCATATTTAATATTAGTCTGAAATTAATGGCTAAATGTAACTCTTTTAGGCATCTACATCAGAAATACTCTGTATGGCTTGAAAGACTCATCCTGGATCTAGGAGTGGGGTTCTTGCTGGGTAAGGCGTAGCAAAGTGGTATGTGGAGTCCCACTCATTCTGTAGTTCACATGATGAATTTTTCTGTTCAACTGCTGAGTGACTCAGAAATGAACTAAATTTCAATTCTGATTAGAACTGAATAAATACTCATGGAAAAGTGAGCTTATTACAAGTGTTAAATTGGTTGCTAAAACCTGATTTTCAGCTTTAAGAATCTTGAGTTATTCAGCTATATCTGACTGGATTTTTATCTTTTTTTAATTTTCAGTTTGTTCCTTTTGGGAGATGGACTACTGCTCAGTTTTCATGGTGTGGGAGGTAAGTTGTTACTTGGTTTTGAATTCCTCTTTCCTTCAGGTAGCTTTTTTGCTTTAATTTACATAACGTCTTTGAAAAAGTTTTCTGTAGTTCAAGTGAGTCTATTGCCATGTTTCAAATCTATGCACGTTTTCTTTATGTGCAGCTTTACGGGATTGAGTTCTGTGCAGCATCTCTGCTTTTACCAGTCTAACCAAGATTAGAACCTGTGTTTGAATAAAAACTAGACCTTTGAATTCTTGAAAAACCGTGTTCAATGCAGATTTTGTCAGATGCTGTGTATAGACGTACTTCAGTTTGACCTGGTGTTGAATGCTGCAGAGCGTTCTCAGATGTCTAATTTGTTTCTGACATGGCCTGGAGCCCTCCCAGGTGATGGAGTTTGAGAACTGCTTAGTCTCCTGGTGGTACCCCACCGTCACTTTCTGTATCCGCATGTATCGCACAGCTACTGCTTTGGGTCACTTTCCTGTGGTAAAATTCTGTGTTCATGCATGCAGCCTTGTTTGAGTCAGTTCTTCGTTCCTGCTTCCCATGCAAGAACAGAAGGGACATCAGAAGGCACTAGTCTTGCGCGCGCGCACACCCACACACATATATGTAGCTAAAGTTGTGAAACTTCTTGCTGCAGGATGTTTTAGTTTTTGTGGGTTCAAGAGTTGGAAATACTATGTAGGACTCCAGTACCACGTAGGAAAAATTCACGTAGGATTACTGAATAGCAAACACTCTTGACGTGGGAAGCCCTGAGCTGCGAACAGCAGAGACTGGGCAAGTGATGATACCTCACAAGAACACACCTCCTCAAGGAAGAGGATAGAAACAGGGCATGTTCTTTTGGCCTTTGGTGTAGTTAAGGGTATTGGACTAGATGTCTCTTCAGTCCGACTCAGTATAAATTGCTCTTATAGCAGTACATCAGATATTGAACTCCTTGCCACAATTAGCTTAGTCCAAATCCAATGTTCCTCTAAAAAGAGAAATATTGGAAGGTGACAGTTGTTAATGGGTAAGTATATAGCAAAGATTGAAAAATAGCTTGGATTTTTGTGTACTGTGCAAATGCTGTTTTTTAAAAAAAAAAAAAGTGGAAAATAAGATGAAAGCTGATGTGTTTGTCTTGTTTCAGCACGTGTTCAGTTTTTGTCTCTTGCTGTAGACAAAAACCTGGAACCTAGTGCTTAGAAAAAACCCTTCTTTGCAACCCACAGCTGATCACCATATTAGTTGTGTTACTTATGTGAAGGGACAATATTTGAATGAGTTACTGGTAGAATACAGGCAGATACTGAACGTGGGGCATCAGTTTCATGCTCTGTATTTGTGGATATGTAATCACACTTTCTTTCCAGACTCTTCGGAGGAGTACACCAGCTCTGCCACAGTGAGCAGCAGTTTGTAACTGTTTTGGACTAGTTGAATTCTTGCAACTGTTTCCTGGCATTCTGAAGTGCAAATCTGTTACTTCACTGCTTTTTGTGTGGAAAATACTAAACCTGTTAGTGAAAGAGGTAAGTTCTGATGTATTTCTGTTGAGCTTCAGCATGAGGATATTGGATTTCTTTTGGAAAGTACTTCACAGACTTCTGCTGCAAATAGTTAAGTCTAAACTTGTATGGTATCTGCAACCAGCAGTATTTTCTTAATGGTGTTGAAAAAGCAGTGCTACAGTGAGTCAGCGGCTGGCATAGTTGATTTTTTTCATGCAGATGTACTGGTTAAACTTGGTATTTCTGTTGAAACAAGTAGATTATAAGTTTCTTTATTTAGCTACGTGTCATATTAACCATTCTTCAGTGTTGTATTTCATTGTTTTTATTGCAATAAATATAGTGGTTAAATCACTGAACTAGAGTAAAACTATTTCCTGTGACATGTCTGAAACAGTGAAAAGCTTCTGTAGTTCGGGTAAGTACTGAGAGAATAGTCTTTATCAAGGTGGAAATAGTTGGATGAGGGTCATACAGACTCAAGTTTTAGACTTAAGCTGCCTTTTCCCAAAGGAACAAGATTTTATTTTGGAACTCGAATTCAAGTAGTAGAAGGCAGATAGTGAAGTGTTTATGATAATGTAGTTGGTTAGGCTTAGAAATAGAAGCTGTTCTACAGAAACTGTCCAAAGTTGATGGTTATGCCTCGTTATTCAGCAAATAGACACGACTTACTGTGTGTCTGAAATTGAAAAACGTGGCTAGAGGAATAACCAGGTTATGCTTTCCTCACTGTAAAGCTAATTGCAGTGGTGACAATGAGACCTGTAACAGGGTTACTTAGCAAAACAGTTCTTACACCATTACTGTCCAAAGTGCAGCTACTGTGAAGTAGTCCCGAGGGTTAGCTTGTTTTGATGGCTTTGAACTCTGGATTGTATCTGCTGAAGGATGCAGGATCGACAGGTAGAAGAAAAAGGCATGGAGTGCTGCACTTTTGCAGATGGCTTATGAAAGCGTGTTTGTAAGTCATCTTAAAACGGTATCTTCTGTGTTTTCTGTAGATCACAGTACCAACTGACTTTTAGGTGACTCCTGTTAGAGTTGTGCCTTTTGTGCCATAGTGTTATTTCTTTAACTGTAGAGGTTGTTTCTTGTTACTTTTATGATGGACGGGATCGTGTCTCTGACTTGAAGAAATGCTTCTGTGTTGTGGCATTAGCATTTGGGCGCTAAAAGGCAGTATAACTTGACCACAGCCTGCCTGCCTCATATTGAGAATTTTTTAAAAAGTACCTCAAGTTTCCTCATCATTTTAATAATTTTAGGAAAATTTAACTCAATTCTCAGAGACAAAAATTCCCTGTTTTCTTTTCAGGAAGCTGACTTGAACGTGCAGTCTGCCATAATGCCTTGGTAAGTTAGTAGGATGACTGATTGTTACTGAAATAGTAAGGAGGCTACACTGCTCTGAGGGATGTTTTATTCCTTCAGTTCATATCTGCACATTATCTAAAGAAAACCATGCAGTATGTGGTACACCAGACCAGAATTCATTTTATTATCTTTGCCCATAGTGATATTCCTCTTTAATGTAATATCAATCTCCTTGATGCTGCATGTGGATAAGATAGCTTTCTATTCCAAGTGTTTGGACGTGATATATATGTTAATATAAATCAGATGAACTGTGGTAGTTCTCTGCGGCCTGCTGAAAATACAAGGTCAGGTGGTTTACTTTTTTAATCCGTGCCTCTTGCAGGTTAGCTGCTACTTGCTGAGTTAACGGGTACCCTTTCAACTGAAAGGGTGCAATGTTGCTGAATAAAACAAAGAGCTAATCTTCCTCTAAATTTGAAAATATATTGTTGTGATGATTGGCAAAATGTTCAACTGCTCTGAAGACAGTGAATGAGAACAGCCTTTCTGAACAAATCTAAGTGTTCTTTTCATTGTACTTTATTGTAGGCATCCATTCTGAATATTTAATATGCTATGATTTGTGTCATCATCTTTTCTGTTCACTGACAGTTGTGTGTGACATTTTTGTATGTTTTTTAAAAAGGCCTTCAATTGAGAGCTGATGAATTCAAAAAGATGATAATAAATACTCTGGCATCCTAGTAGCTAGAAGTATGATTCCAGGGAGAGTGGTCATCAGGAAATATTGCTAGTTATTTCTAGCACTGCTCTAGTCTCCTGTTTTTGTATACGCGTGCATGTCCATTTTTAACCCTATAATGATGTGGCGTTTCTTTAGGTGGTACGTGCTTGGAGAACAAAGTGAGAGAAGGGATAAAAGCAGCCATTTAACAGAAATATGAAAGCCCTACCAGGTTAGTAGGAAACAAACTTTTGCCTGTTTCTTAGTGATTGGAGGGCTTTGGTTGGTTTCCTGTGACTGGAACTCTTTATGAAACTTTACCGCCTCGAGGAATGTTTCAGGGACTTTTCTCAACACTTCTACTATATTTTAATGTAGTGCTCGTGCTCATTCTATTCAGGAAAGGATTTCTTTTTAACTTCCATTTGTCAAAAGAATACTTGCACAAATTTCTCAAAGGAAAACTGAAATTATTGAACTAGACTTGATAATGTTGGTTCTACAAGTAGCAAACACTTGACTAAAGTCATAGGGAGAATTTTCTGTTGAAGTGAAACTTATTTCCCTTTGTTTTTTTGCCTTGCAGGTAGCATTAGCTTTTAACACTGAAATGTTGCTAGTACTTGTAATTATTTTTATGCATCTTACACCTTACTAGCTCACTTGCATTTTTTTTAATATGAAGGAGTTACTCCTCCTTTTTTTCCAAGTGTTGATGATACTAGTGTCTTATCTCCTCTTCCCTCGAAATGTATTTTAAATTGCATATATCCTTCTAAGTATCTTGAGGCAAGACACCTTGTCGGTCTGCTTGATTTTCATCTATTGCATCAGCTTATAGTACTGGAAAAGTTGAGGTCTATCCCGATAGGATCTCTTCTGTAGGTTCTTGTCGTTGGAAACGCCTCACAGAATAAACTTGTGGTTTCATTTCACCCATTGAACTACTTGTTAGCTCTGTGGGATAAAAACTGCAAGACAGATCTTCATTTGACATTCTAGGAATAGAAATAACACTTATGTTCTCCTTTAGGTACTGACTTATGCTTTTGATATGAATGAAAAATTCATGCAAATAGAAAAGCTTGGTAAGAGTCAAATAAAAGGCATGTTTTGTGACCTGGGAATTTCAGATGCAACTTGCATGCTGAATCATATGGTTTGAACTTAAGCCAGACTTTTGTTGGTTTTTTTTTTTTTTTTTAAAAAGAAATTAGGGTATCTCTACAAAACTTTCTAGTTATTGTGGCTTAAGTTTTTTGGATCAGTCTGTTCCCTTTTAATCTTAAAGGAGGGGTTCTTTACTGTTACTTGTTCAAGCAGCTTTGAGTTCAAAAGAAACAGCACTGTGGTGTCTGTCTGAAAGTAAAGTAACTTTATAAACATGCTGCATTTTTTTGGTTCTGTGACAAGTGAATACTTGATAGTTTCATACGGAACTGTTCATGCTGAACAGCGTAACAGTTGTTTCTGAGTTTGAGTTTTTAATTCCTAAACGACTTGGCCAGTTCATTACTGGATCATTAGAATTCCTGAATACCTAGCTATAGAATATACAGTAAATCAAGTAAAATATTATGGGAAGAAGTAGGAAATGCTTCATTGTAGGGATATATAAAATAACTGAAAGGACTTTTGAAGCTGTTCCTAGTAGGTGAAGTTGCAATGGATTCTTCTTCCCTTTTAGTTGCATGATGATTTTTGTAAAATCAAGTGCGTAATTTTAGCTTACTAACCACTACGTGCTAAGTCTTGTATACAGGAGTTTGAATTTTAAAATGGGTGGCTGGTTATTGCAAACTACTGTAGATGTTGCACTGTATGGTATCTGCACCCAACAGTATTCTCCTGATGGGATGTTCAAAAAACAGTGCTACAGTAGTTCAGCATTTGGCATCGTTGGTTTTCATTCTGCTGTGTCTGTAAAACCTGGTATTTCTGCTGAAACATTCTTTGGTCCTCCTCAATGATTTGAATGTATTGGCTTTCTACTTCATGGAGAAAGTGTGAGAACTGGACATTAGCTCTCCTAAGTGCATTGACATTTCCTTACCCAACAGGTACCCCAGAATACTAACAAACTGAACTTTGCTATGTTGAAAGGATTAGCTGGAAGATGATGGCAACTTGTTTTGGCAGGTGAGTGCTGAATTATTTGACAGGTCAGAAGGTTTCATGCAGCTTTAGTTAACGTACAAACCTAACTTCAGAATGACACTGAAACTTTGGTAGACAGTTCTAGAAAAGTGTAGAAAGTGTCCAGTAGAGACTGCTAGACAGTGATCACTCAAGAGGCTGCTATCTGCATAGGAAGTTATGCTTGTATGTATACTTTGCTACATAAATCTGTGACACCTGTGCAATCTGTAGCGCTAGTGTCTGAGGCGAAGGCTGATACCAGTTGTGAGGAATTCTTTTGGAATTCATAACAGATTCTAGGTCTGTTAGCACACAGCTTGGCCTAACTTAATTGGCCTAATTGACCGTCCTTAACAAGAAAGGACAGGAAACTTAGCCTACGCTCACTATTTAAGGCCCAGATCTAAGTTGGTAACAGCAGTAAGAGGAGTTATCCGGTCATTACCAAGGCTGCTAGGATATTACTGTTTCTGGTGGGCTGTGGACATGACCATAAAGTAAGGCCATCAGACTCTTGACTTGCTGCATTGTGTGGCACTAGGTCTGCTGGGAATAAAGCTTTAATGTGAAAGATAAGAGACAGTGCTCCCTTGCTTTAGATTAAGTTTCTGCTTAGTTCCTGCT